GGCCAACATGGCAAAACCCCTTCTCCACTAAAAATACAAACATTAGCTGGGTGTGGTGGGACAGACCTGTACTCCCAGCTACTCGGGAGGCTGAGGTAGGAGAATCAATTGAACCTGGGAGGCAGAGGTTGCGGTCAGCCGAGATCGCGCCACTGCACTCCAGCCTGGGTGACACAGCACGAGACTCCGTAAAAAAAAAAAAAAAAGTCAGATCCCTCAATTGTTCCAGCAAAATCAGACTGCTTTAGACAAAATCCAGTTATAGTTGCTTACAAAAAACATCTAAAACAAGATAGTAAGAAAAGGTTCAAAATTACACATTGGGCACGGTGACTCACGTCTGTAATCGCAGCACTTGGGGAGGCTTGGGTTTTCTTGAACCCAGGAGTTTGAGTTTTCTTGAACCCAGCCTGGGCAGCATGGCAAGACCTGTCTCTGCCAAAATTACAAAAATTAGCTGGGTGTGGTGGCTCGTGCCTGTTGTCTCAGCTACTTGGGAGGCTAAGACAGGATGGTCGCTTGAGCCCAGAAGATGGAGGTTGCAGTGAGCCGAGATTATGCCACTGTACACTCCAGTCTGGGTGACAGAGTGAGATCTTGTCTCAACAAAGACACCAAAATTACAAGTTGGACAAAATCATACCAGTCACATGTAACCAAAGAGAAAGCAGAATTGGCAAAGTTAAAGTTAATATCAAGTGGGTTTTAGGGTCCAAGGTTTTTTTTTCTTTTTTTTTTGACACGGAGTCTCGCTCTGTGGGTCACCTAGGCTGGAGTGCAGTAGTGCCATCTCAGCTCACTGCAATCTCTGCCTCTTGCGTTGAAGCGATTCTCCCACCTCAGCCTCCTGAGCAGCTGGGATTACAGGCATCCACCACCACACCTGCTAATTTTTGTATTTTTAGTAGAGATGGGGTTTCACCATGTTGGCCAGTCTGGTCTTGAACTCCTGACCTCAAGTGATCTGCCTGCCTTGGCCTCCCAAAGTGCTGGGATTACAGGCATGAGTCACCACACCTGGCCAGATCCAAAATATTAAAGGATGCAGAGGATGTTAGGTAAAGATACAAAGTTCAATTTGTGGAGATGCATAGTAACTTCCACAGGCATTAAGTGGAAAAGTGAGAATGGGTTGTAATGTTAGTTTGTTACTCAACAGATGCTAGCTGTTTTAATTATACATAAACACTACTGGCAGTAAAAGGAGAGCTTGAACAGATGTCCAGGTGAAACTCCAGGGAGAGGAGCAAGGGAGTCAGAGTCAGTTCACTGAGCCTGTTTCTCCTGTGAAATGGATAATGAGGTTGCCTTACTCACAGTGGTGGCAAGACTCAGAGATGGTTGCCACCTACACAGTGTTTAGGACTCTGAGAAGTGTTAGTGAGCCGTTTTGGAGGGGTGAACCTTTGTCCTTCAAGAGGGGCTGGATTTTTGGCAGGACCTGAAATAATAACCAAGGATGACTGCACAGTCACAAGCTGTCTCCCTGGGCTCGAGGTGGCTCCCACCCAGGGAAGGGGACGGGGGTGTCAGCCACTGCATCACGACCTGGGGTCGTCACTCCCTGGGGGAGGGAGGTAAACCTTTACAGGTAAGGAAAGTGAGACCCAGAGACAGAGTCATTTGTGAGCACGCCAGGCTGATGCGTGGCAGGGGGAAAATTCAAATCTGGGGAGGGTCTGACCCCAAAGTCCAGCATCCCTGGAGCCTCCTGCTCATGTCAGGTGTTTGGATTAATAGGACCTCCCAGAAATAGTGTGTGCAGCCTCCCAGGGGACAGCTTCCCCTGTCAGGCACCCAGACCAGTCCGCCGTGGAGAGCAGCAGCCTGCAGATGGGTCACCAGCGCTCAATGGGACAGATGCTGGCATGGCATTGGGATGTCACATGCATACCCCCCCACTGGACATGAGGATTCCAGGGGCTCACGGGATCTGCCTGCTGCACCCACAGGTGCTTGGGCAATGCCCCTTTCCCCTGCAGGAGCTCCTGCCAGTCCTCCTTGCCAGCACCCCCTCATGCCCAGTGCCCTGCACTGCGTTTCTGAGGTATGTGGGTCACAAGTCCCCCTCTCCTCCTCCAGGTGTGGCAGGCGTGCTTGTGGGACACCCGTTTGACACAGTCAAGGTGAGTCTCATCGCTGCTTTTTTTTTCTCGGCGCGTACATTGGAAAGAGGCTCACAGGGTTGGGGTGGCTGGAAGCCCGTTTCCGTGGACAGCCCCAGGTGGGCAGCTGCTTTTACACCGCGCCGGGCTGAACCTTCCTGCTGCTTCGTCCTGGCATCTCCCAGCTGGGGCTGATCCACATTCTGGGTTCATGGCCAAGTCCATCCTGGGCTTGGCCAGCTGGGACCGAGGTGCTGAGGTTTCCTCCCACCCAGAGCAAGGGCACCCACATTGTTCCCATGCAGAACTCCCCCAAACACTTCCTTGAAAGAAAGAAAAGTTCAGAGAGAAAATACAAAAAAGCCAAAACTCGTACCTCCCATGAACATGATCTTCACGGAGTGGTGATCATCCTTACGGAGAGTCCGAGTGATAGTTTCCCACGTGCCAGAGGCGTGAGGAAGGGCTCTGTTAGCCGGTTCCTTGACAACACCCCACACCTCCATAAACCGGAGTTCCAGGTTCTCAGACCCCCCGGAACGGAAACCAAGGAAATCTGTGTCCTCCAGCTGGCAATTCCCAAATAAATCCCCCACCCTCCACTTGTGGTTGGGCTGTATGTTCTGAAAGTAGCGCAGTGGGGCCCTTCCTCACGCTTTTCCCTGGGCCCCAGGACAAGCTGTGAGTGGCGGGCACCAGACCAGCCTTGTGCTTGCCGGCAGCACTACACGTGGCCCCTCTTCCCACTGAGGGAAGGCAAGGCAGGATGCACATCCTGAGCTGGGTTGGCGGGAGACTTCCGGTCTCCTTTTCTAGTGAGCCCAGGTGTTTGTTGGCAGACACAGTGACTGCTTACCATAAGGCTGGATTGCATCCAGCACAAGAGTGAGGGCCCGGCCTTATGCATTGGCTGTGACCTTAAAAAGCTCTGTCCCTGGGCCTTGTGCAGGTCCAGGCCCCTCTGCCAGCTGGTTTTCTGCATGACCTTGGGCAGGTCCCTGTATCTTTGGGCTCAAACGTTGTCATCGTGCCAGTGCTCACCAGCATAATTTATGTTGGATTAAATGCTGGCTCTGAAAAGCACAACTCTTCCATCCAGTTTGTGGAGGCGGCTGAAGGGCCAGGCTTTCTTGGCAGGCAGCGGCCCCACGTTTCCTGCACCAGCCTGCCGAGAGGGAGGCTGTGCAGAGCCTGCCCACACAGCCCCCGGCCCCAGCCGTGCCCACGCGCTGCCTGGCCAGGCCACCCGTGAAGCCTCCCGCAGGCCAGAGCAGCCCAGGACAGCCCGGCAGTGTCCACGTTGCACTGTGTTTATATCTCGTCGTCATGTGTTGTGAATGCCTCTCGCAACCAAGAAGTGCCTCGCATTCACTTCCTCTTTCCAGCTCCGCGGAGGCCTAGGCTCTCTGAGCTAGGAATCGGCCAGACCTGCTGGGCTCCTGCCCGGCCCCCTCAGGCAGCCCCTGGCAGGCCGGGGAGCACTTTCGTCCTGGTGCTCCGCCGTCCTGAGCCACTGAGCCCCCGAGCAGCATCCCTGATGTGACTCAGGGACAGGAGTTTCTCCAGCCCATGAAATTTTACTCCCCAGACCCTACTTCACTGTCTGGAGGGTGGTCTTTGAGAAGATCTATTTGTGATCCTTTTTTTTTTTTTTTTTGCCACTGTGTCGCTCCAGCATCACATCTGGACGTACCTACCTTAAAAAGCTGAACTTTTTTTTTTTCTTTGAGACGGAGTCTGTGTCTGTCACTCAGGTTGGAGTGCAGTGGTGCGACCTTGGCTCACTGCAACTTCCTCCTCCTGGGTTCAAGTGATTCTCCTGCCTCAGACCTCCCCAACCCCCCAAGTAGCTGGGATTACAGGCACGTGCCACCACGCCTGGCTACTGTTTGTTTTTAGTTGAGGTCCAGCACATTAGGGAAAGTGCAACATCGGCCGGCGCCAGTGGGCTTCAATTGCCTGGTAATCCCCCGCACCTTCCTGTGAGGCTGAGGTGGGCGGATCACGAGGTCAGGAGATCAAGACCATCCTGGCTAACAGTGAAACCCCTGTCTCTACTAAACATACAAATTAGCCTGGCGGGGTGGGGGCACCTGTAGGTCCAGCTACTTCGGGAGGCTGAGGCAGTGAGAAATTGGCCGTTGAACCTGGGAGGCAGAGCTTGCAGTGTGATCCTGAAGATCGCGCCATGCCTCCCAGGGCCTTAGGTGACAGGGAGCAGAGACTCCATCTCAAAAAAAAAGACGAAAGTGTACACCATCCTTAGGTGTATAAGTCTCGCAAAGCACAGGTGGTGGGGAGGCGCCACCCAGGAGAAACAAGAACCATGGCCAGGCCTCTGGAAGTCTTCACTGCCGCTCTATCAAATCCTCCCGCCCCTTTCTTCGAGGGCTTCCCACTGCCTACTTCCTTCCTTTTTTTTTGAGACACGAGTCTTGCTCTGTCACCCCCAGGTGGAGTGCAGTAGGCCCACTGTACTTTTGGATTTCCCCAGGCTCAAGCCAGTCTCACTACCACAGGCCTCTTCAGGTAGCTGAAACTACAGGGCAGGAACCACCCATGTCTACGCTAATTTTATTTTTTTTTTTTTTTTTTTTTTTTTTTGAGGACGGAGTCTCGCTCTGTGTCGCCCAGGCTGTGGAGTGCAGGTGGGCAGATCTCAGCTCACTTGCAAGCTCCGCCTCCCGGGGTTCACGCCATTCTCCGGCCTCAGATCCGAGTAGCTGGGACTTACAGGCGCCCGCCCCCTCGGCCCCGGGCTAGTTTTTTGTATTTCTTAATAGAGACGGGGTTTTCACCGTGTTAGCCAGGATGGTCTCGATCTCCTGACCTCGTGATCCGCCCGTCTCGGCCTCCCAAAGTGCTGGGATTACAGGCTTGAGCCACCGGCTAATTTTTTTTTTAAGTTATTAGTAGAGATGGGGTCTTGATACGTTGTCCAGCTGGTCTCAAGCTCCCGGGCTCAAGTGATCCTCCTGCCTTGGCCTCCCAAAATGCTGGGATGACAGGCCTGGCCCACTGTCCTCACTTCCAACACCATGGGCCCCTTTTGCCTGGTTTGAACTTAATATAATTGCAGCTGTACCCTAGAATCATCAGGGGCGACCCGAGTCCATGTCAGTCTGTATTGTCACATGGCCACAGACTATCTCATGGCTGGGACAGTCACAGTTTATTCCCCCAGACCCTTGGGACTGAAAGAATCCAAGATCTGGATCTCCTCTATAGCGTCCAGAACCACAGCCCCCGTCCTGAAGCACATGGCCTTCACACGTGGTTCTGCACGAAGGGAATTTTCTGTCCTGCTTCCTTGGATACAACAATAATCAGGAAACAGTCACTTTCATCAGGGAGCAGTCATCTTGAACTGTGATGAGGGGGTGACCGGCTATCCCTGGGCAGGGGATGGGGAGGGTGGGTGGGGGCTGGCTGTGGGGGCTCCGTGCCTGGATGTGATGTTGAAATTTTGTGTTGCTTTAACTGCCTTTACTTTCTGAGCTAGGGGCTGTCTCCATCCATAGCAAAAGTGTAACTTTGTTGTAGATGGGCGTAAGCCTCACCCTGGAGAGCGCTAGTAAGTACAGACCAGGTGAACCAGACCCCAGCCTGGACCCCACCCTGTCGTGCCCATCTCCCCAACCCCAGAGTTCCCTCCGTAGCAGGGGACAGGGAGGGTGTGAGACAAGCTTGGGCCCAGCACAGATCCTGGGGTGGGGGCTCGGGCTGGTCGAAAAAAGTCAGCCCCCTCTGGATTGGGGGTCCTCATGTGGGGGTCTCTCAGCCCTGTGGGAAGCTGGGAGCTTCCTAAACTTGTGTCCAAATGACTAGTTTCCCAGGGGTGGGTCCATTCCCATCAATCCTCAAAGGAGAGCCTGTCACCCCAAGATTTTAAAAGCCTGAGCTGTAGATGACAAGACTTGGGATGCTGGGCCACAGTTCCTCTCCCAGAGAGTGAGGGCTCGTCACAGACTGAGGGGTCAGAAACAAAGTGGGGAGAGGCCTCTGCCCACATTGGTGGGAAAAGCTGAGTTGACCTGAGCCTGACATTCCTGAGCTGCTGGACTTGGGCGTTCACCAGTGTATGTGACCTGCAAAGACTTCACAACACTACCCAGGTGGCATTGAGTATCCAACCTGGGAAGGGATAGCTCCACGTCACATCGGTCCTATTCACACAGCCCTCTTAGTCCCAGTGTTGGGCCTGCAGGAGGAACAGAGAGATCCCCCCAGAGACCCCAGAACATTGAAGGGAAAGCAGCAAACCTTGCATCAAGGTGCTCGCCAAGAACTGGGCCTCCAGGGTGGGAGGGGTGCTTCGGGCCAATCTTGAAGCATTGGCTTCTAGCTGTTGAGGTCCTGGGCGTACTGAGATGGTACTTGTTTCCTAACAAAACATTTTTTGTAAGTGCATTCACCAATAGAGGGCCCACCTATTCTGGTGGAGAGAATTGGAAAAGGTTCCAGAATCTGGGCAGAAGCCTGGCTGTTCCCAGTGAGGGCTCTCCCTTGCCAGCACTCCCTCCCACCCTCACTCTGACCAACACAGCCACTCATATCCCTGGAGAAGACAGCTTTGGCCAAGTTGTAAAACATCTCTGAGCCTCAGTCTTCCCATCTTGGAAATGGGGGCAGTTGTCCCAATGCCAAGATAATTGAGTGTGAAGCCCTCCCCTGTCCCATGCTGCCTAGTACCGAAGGCACTTGCTTTGTGGCCCTGGCTGTAAGAATGATCATTTCTGAGTCAGACCGAGGGAATCAGCCCCTGAGAATGTGACTTGACCTAGTTTACTCCCACCCCCCGCTCTGCAAGTCTGAGCCTCCTGTCGAGCAGAGATAAGCTCATAGGCAACAAAGAGCGCTTTGACATGGAAGAGGTTCTGGGCCACTGGGCTCGGAGGCGGCGGGGCCTGAGCAGCGTCCCGGGCCCCAGAGCTGCTGACGTGGGTCCCCAAGGAGGTTGTTGGCTGTTCTTTTGCCACTGCTCTGTTAACTCATAACTGCTGTTCTCACTAGAGGCTACTGGCAGAGACCAGGCAGGAGCTCCTGGAGCCAAGGTCATTGCTTATATTATTTATTTATTTATTTATTTATTTATTGAGACGGAGTGTTGCTTTCTCGCCCAGGCTGGAGTACAGTGGCGTGACCTCACTACATCCTCTGCCTCCCCGGTTCAAACAATTCTCCCACCTGAGCCTCCTGAGTAGCTGGGATTACAGGCGTGTGCCTCCATGCTAGGCTAATTTTTTTTACAGACATGGTTTCGCCATGTTGGCCAGGCTGGTCTCAAACTCCTGACCTCAAGTGATCCACCCACCTCGGCCACCCAAAGTGTTGGGATTACAGATGTAGCCACCGCGCCCGGCCGGCTCATCACTTTTTGCACCTATTGCCTCGAAGCCAGTCTGACGGGACATTAGGGCAGGGGACCTTCAGCCTGGTCTGGGACATGGGCCGCCCACTCAGCAGTATGACAAGCATCACCTGGAGAACGGGCCGGTCTCAGGAGGTCGTTCATGCCCCACCGGCAGTGCACTGTGCAGCCATAGTGTAAACAAGAGGCTTAACCTCAACTGGTCTGAGATCTTGGGGACCCCCTACCCTGTCTCCAGCAGCCTGTCCCTGTAGCTGTTTGCCCACCGGCACCCCATCCTGAAAAGGCATAGATAGCCGGTCCGCCCTGCCCTGGAATTACAAAAGTCTTAGACTGTGCCTGAGTGCCCAGCCTCCTTAGGAGACCCTCCCAGGCAGCCTGAGTGCCAGACCCGGGAGCTGGGTGCTCTGGCCCTGCCTGCCTACCTCTCACTGGACCCTCTCCTTCCAGGTGCGGCTTCAGGTCCAGAGCGTGGAGAAGCCTCAGTACCGTGGGACGTTGCACTGCTTCAAGTCCATCATCAAGCAAGAGAGTGTGAGTGGCCTGGGCTGGTAGGGCTCGGGAGGCACAGGATGGGGAACCAGTCTCCGGGCTGCCACCACCCAGACCAGAGAGCCAGGAAGGAAGGTGTCAGGATGGCCAGGAGGCCAATCAGGACCTAGTTTCCAACGAAATTCTGCTTGGTCCTCAGGAGCCCCTGGGGTGGGCTGGGGCTGCCATCCTCCAGCCCCTCTCCGCGTGGAGGGCCCACGAGGTGCGTGTTGCCGGCTCTGATGGCGTCTCTGCCCCCGCAGGTGCTGGGTCTGTACAAGGGCCTGGGCTCGCCGCTCATGGGGCTCACCTTCATCAACGCGCTGGTGTTCGGGGTACAGGGCAACACCCTCCGGGCCCTGGGCCACGACTCGCCTCTCAACCAGTTCCTGGCAGGCGCGGCGGCGGGCGCCATCCAGTGCGTCATCTGCTGCCCCATGGAGCTGGCCAAGACGCGGCTGCAGCTGCAGGACGCGGGCCCGGCACGCACCTACAAGGGCTCGCTGGACTGCCTCGTGCAGATCTACGGGCACGAGGGTCTGCGTGGTGTCAACCGGGGCATGGTGTCCACGCTGCTGCGAGAGACGCCCAGCTTCGGCGTCTACTTCCTAACCTACGACGCGCTCACGCGGGCGCTGGGCTGCGAGCCGGGCGACCGCCTGCTGGTGCCCAAGCTGCTGCTGGCAGGTGGCACGTCGGGTATCATGTCCTGGCTCTCCACCTACCCTGTGGACGTGGTCAAGTCACGGCTGCAGGCCGACGGGCTGCGGGGAGCCCCGCGCTACCGCGGCATCCTGGACTGCGTGCGCCAGAGCTACCGCGCCGAGGGCTGGCGCGTCTTCACACGGGGACTGGCGTCCACGCTGCTGCGCGCCTTCCCCGTCAACGCTGCCACCTTCGCCACGGTCACCGTGGTGCTCACGTACGCGCGCGGCGAAGAGGCCGGGCCCGAGGGCGAGGCTGTGCCCGCGGCCTCCGCCGCCCCTACGGGGCCCGCTCTGGCGCAGCCCTCCAGCCTGTGACACTCACCCCGCCCTCCTTCCCCAGGGCCCCTTCTCAGAAACCTGAGACATACATTGGCCCCTGGGTCGATTGCCGTGCTCCTGCTCGGATGCCGGGGGCTGTGGACTCTCTCAGACCTGGGCTGAATTGTGCTGATCAGCCGGGTGGCTTTGGCCGAGAACTTCACTTGCCTCAGTATTCTCATCTGTGAAATAAGGACCCTCATACCCACATTGGAGAGTCCCGAAGGTCGGAGATTATTCTGAGTGGCAGCCAGCACCTGGCCTGGCTGAGGCCATTGCACCATTCATTATCCTGGTAATTGAGGCAGCCACTCCTGCCCCTTTCTGGGGTCCTGGCCACGCCACTGTGCTCCTGCCCTGCAGGCTGGCTCCCAGGGCTCTCTGCTGGCCCACCAAGGGGCTGCCCCGGGACCTGGCTCCACACATCCTCCACCCGGGAGGCTGGTGCGCCACCTCTGGTCTGTGTTAGGGACAGAGGAAGGCTTGGTGTGCCTCCTGGTATCGCAGAACTGGATCCTCTGCATACCCCAGCTTCTCCACATGCCACTGCTAGGGGTACCCCAGCTGCTGCCACTCCTGCTGGAGGGTGAACTGGGGACCCTCCCCCCTCCGGGAAGCCATGGAGTCTGCTGGAGGCACCGTATCAGCCGACGGGACTAGCGTGGGGAGCAGACAGACCAGTGGGTGGAGGTCTCGACAGTTCAAGTGTGATGCAGCTGTGGCAAGGAGAAATCCTTCCACCTCTGGGCCTCAGGCTGCCTGTCCATAAAATGGGGACATGGCCAGCTGATGGACAACTGAGTCTCTGGCCCACCCATCCCCGCCAGCCAGGATCCCCCAAGGTGTGCAGAGGGCTCAGCAGAGAACAATATGGGATCCCCCTCACCAGGGCTGGAACACCTCCAGCCACAAAGAAGCCAAAGGTCAGTTCCTCTTGCTCCCCAGCAAACGGTGCCTCCTAGGCATTCTCAGAGCCAGGGCTTCATCCCTGTGAAGGCACAGGGTCCGCTAGTGGGCACAGGGGTGGCTAGTTGGGGCCTGGGGCAGGAGAAGGCCGTCCCAGGCATCCTGGGGACTGTGCTTGATGAAGACGACACTGGGCTTTGCACAGCCTGATGTCGCTGCACAGAAACTGTCAAGGGAATAAAGTTTTCTTTGTTTTTTAAGTGGTGAAGCTGCCTTTGCATATGGTGGAGGAAAGGGCTTCATTCAACACCCTTGCCCTGGAGTCGAAGGGGCCAGCTCAGAGGTGTGTGTGCCCTCGGATCCTGACAGCGGCCTTGGCCATGTGACCTGGGCAGTTGCGGATACGTCTGAGAACCTGTTTTCTCATCTGTAAGGCAAGCTAATGAAGGGCGAGAGGATTGGAATGTAAAGCTTATGAATACGCTGGTGCAGCCTGGCCATTCAGCACAAGTGCCTCTGCTATCATCCCAGCAATGAGACGCCTGTGGTGAGGGACACTGGCAGGTGGGGCAGCAGGGACAGGGGTGTCCCAAAAACAGCTTCCTGGAGGAGGGGAGGTCTGAGTGGAGCTGACCATTTCAGCCACCCGGGCAACTTGGGCACAACTGTACCTAACCTGACCTAGGAGGTCAGAGAGCGCTTCCTGGAGCTTTGCCAAAGGTGTGGTGTGGGGGTCTCACTGCACACCTCACCTGCAGTTCTGTTCAGCCTCCTGGAGTTAGCCCTCGGCATCCTGAGCCTCTGCAACCACCAGCCCTGGAGGCTGTCCCTCCCAGCTGCTGAGCCAAGGAGCTCTGCCCACTGACACGGGAGAGTCGGGGAGGGGCCCCAGTTCCTGTGCCTGTTTAATCCTAGTGCCTTCCAGGGAGGCAGGAGGCTGCGAGGAAGCTGGCTGTTGACCCCCGGGGTCTCCTTGCCTCTCACTTCTCTTTACTGTGAAATAAACCAGGGGAAGCTCCCAGGGGTGAGGGACACACCCTGGCCATGGGCACAGAGAGGGGCCCCTTCCCTGGCTCCTCCATGTCCAGTTTGGCAGCCCCTTTGCCTCTGTAGGCCTGCGTGGCTGAATCTCTCAGGGCAGCTTTGGTCCGCCTGTGGCTGTGGTCCTCATCACCCTGGATCTCTCCACACATCTGCACTCTCTGGAAAGACCCCAACGTGACCCTTCTCAGGAACTGATTTGAGCACAAAGCTTTCTCCAGCCCTGCTCACCCTGTGGCTTCTCCACGACCCCTGCTGCTGCCTGCCCTCTGGGGACAGCACACAGACAGGCCAGCCATTCGGAAGTGAGGGGTGGTGTGGCAAGGAGCAAGGTGAAGGGGCGGGGGGCTTCCAGCTGCCTCACACTTCCCAGTCCAGCCGCCTCACACGACCAACACATCTGCCAGGCAGGCAGTGGAGCTGCTGCTGTTTTTAATGAATTTCTTTTACATTTTCTTTTCTCCCTGATTTGAACTTTTTTTTTATTTTGAGATGAAGTCTCGCTCTGTTGCCCAGGCTGGAGTGCAGTGGCGCTCTCAGCTCACTGCAACCTCCACCTACTGGGTTCAAGTGATTCTCCTGCCTCAGCCTCCGAGTAACTGGGATTACAGGTGCCCGCCACCACACCTGGCTAATTTTTGTATTTTTAGTAGAGACAGGGTTTTACCATGTTGACCAGGCTGGTCTCAAACTCCTGACCTCAAGTGATCCACCTGCCTCAGCCTCCCAAAGTGCCGGGATTACAGGCGTGAGCCACCGCGCCCGGCCTCTGATGTGAATTTATTTGAAATAAGTGATCTATGAAGGTGATTAAAAATAGCCCCAGAACCCAGGCTTATGCAGTGAAGAGGAAAACCTCCTTCCACCTCCCTGGGGCCAGCCTCTCCTGAGTCGAGGACAGTCTCCAGTTCCCGGAAGGCATCCAGCACATCTTGCACAAGTGCCAGCATGGCAGGCAGGGGGACATCTGCACCCCCCACGAAGTGTGGCCGAGGTCCTGACTGTTCTGTTCTTTGCTGTCTTCCCTTGACAGTGATCCTGGAGATTGCATCCGTCTCCTAGGGCTGCTGTAACAAAACACCACACACGGTGGCTAAACGATAGCCAAGTGTCCTCTGGGAGTTCTGAGGGCCACACTCTAGCTGCAGGCAGGGTTGGTTCGTCTGGGGGGCTCTGAGGGATGAACTGTTCCCTGCTTCTTCCAAGCTTCTGGTGGCGGCTGGTAATTCTTGGCTCCCTGGGCTCACAAGCGCATCACTCTGATCGCTGCCGCCATCTCTTGCCCCCTTCTCCTGTGTGTCTGTGTCTCCATGTCTTCTCTTTGTGTAAGGGAACCAGTCACATGTGATTAAGGGCCCACCCTACGCTAGTATGACCTCATCTTAACTAAAAACATCTGCAGAGACCAGGTTCCAAATCAGGCCAAATTCAGTTGCCTGGAGTTAGGACTTGAACGGATCTTTTTGGGGCCACAATCCAACCCTCAACAGGGCTCTGTATCAGTGTGTCTGAACTGTCCTCCTTCCTGCTGACAGCTGCGTGGCATATTTCACTGGATAAACTGTGCTTGATTTGCTTTTCCAGTCAGGTTTAGGAACGTAACTGGGAGACACGTCTCAGCAGAGTCTTAGAGGAAGAGCAGCAGCAGACGGGGCCGCAGAGGGACCACAAGGCTGTAGCTGGAAGGGCAGATGTAGCCAAGGTCCCGAGGTAGAAGGGGTCGGTGGGGGCTGGGAAGGGGGGCGAGGCAGGGCCTGGAGGACAGCAGGGCCACATGGCAGTGCCTTGAGGACAGTGGCAGATCCTTCTAAGTGCCAACTGCTCTTGAAATCTCAACTTGTTCTGGGCTTCAGTATGTCCAATCAAAACACCTTCCCAGACTGTCTTTTTTTTTAAGATAGTTTCACTCTTTTTTCCCAGGCTGGAGTGCAATGACACGATCTTGGCTCACTGCAACCTCCACCTCCCAGGTTCAAGCGATTCTCCTGCCTCAGCCTCCTGAGTAGCTGGGATTATAGGCGCAGCCACCACGCCCTGCTAATTTTTTGTATTTTTAGTAGAGATGGGGTTTCACCATGTTCCAGGCTGGTCTCGAACTCCTGATTTCAGGTGATCCGCCTGCCTTGGCCTCCTAAAGTGCTGAGATTACAGGCGTGAGCCACCGCGCCGGCCCCCAGACTGTCTTGTGGCCGGAGCTGGCCATATGTCTTGACAGCTTCTGAGAAAGCTGTGAAACAGGTAGAGCACACTGTGGCGCACCACTTGACCTCCGATCTCTGACCTTACTCTCTGCCTCCCACTGAAAACGGGATAGGATGCCTGGAGCTGCAGTGGGAGAGACCACAGCCGTAAGCCACCGAGTCAGCCTGGCCTTGGAAGGCTGGTCACATCCCTCTCATTCAGCACACTGTTCCTGTCATTTGCAGCCAAATGCACCACCAGCCGCCATGCAGAACTGAGTTTATTTCATTGTGTCAGCAGCTGTGAGCAGGTTTTACCCAGGGGAGTGACAAGATCCAATTTATGCTTTGGAGACCCCACAGGAGGTTAGGAGGCAATAAGAGGCAGGCCAGGGTGGGGCCAGAGGCCATGAGGGTGTCTGAGCCAAAGGACATCTTGAGGCCAGGAATGGGGCAGGGGAGTCCAGTGGCAGGTAAGTGAGACCACGCTGGGGAGTAAACGGCAGAAGAAGCCCTTGGAGGTGTCGGGGGTGCACCCAAAGGAGGCGAAACTATGTGGCAGGAGCTAGAGTCTGAACTCCGCAGGGATCTGGAGTTTATGGCTCCTTCCTTGACCCCTTAAGGGAAAGGGCTACGAAACAGCACTGCTGAGGGATTTGTCTCTGGGATGGGAAAGAGGGAGGCTGAAAGCGTGGAAGGGCAGAAAGAAGGGGACAGGCCCCGTGAGGGCTGGTGCTCAGGTCCTTGGTGCAGAGTTCAGGCAAAGCAGTGGCATTTTGGAGAGTCCAAATCTGAGAAACTGTTTTTCCAATCTCAGAGCCCACACCGGGTTCGCACACAGACTTCCCCTTCCCTTTTCTTTTGATTCCTTTGGACATCAGGTGTCTGGAGCGAATGGAGCGTAAACCTCCTTGTGACCCTCTCATCACCAGCCTGAGCCTTTAGTGAGTCATTTCTCATAAAAAGCACCTGTGAGGCCACACTGACCCAGGACCTTCACCAGCCCTCCCTGTGCTGGGCAGGTTCTTATGACTGTAGGGACGGCCTAGCCCTTTGCACAGCCATCCCTTCATCCTCCCAACAGCCCTACAAGGTCGGTGCTGGCACTTCCGTTTTGCAGTGCAAGATACCAGTTGGGGAGGACCCCCGTCCAAGGCCACATGGCTAGCTGGTGCTGGAGCCAGTGCTGGGAGCCGGTCAGCCCATCCTTTGCCCTTCAGCAGGATCAGCTGGGGCCGGCAACCCTGGAGCGGCAGTGCAAGCACCAGAGGGGGCCTGGCCAGGGCCAGGGTCCAGGCCCCATGCTCCCGGGTCTCAGCTCCCTTGCTGCTTCTTGCTCACACACCCCTGACCTCATGGTACCCACCTACCCATGGAGAGGCAGACGCATTGCTGGGTCCAGAGGCCACTTCCCAGGGAACTGGGAAAGGCTTGGTGGGGCCAGTGTCCACCTTGATCAGGGCACAACAGAGACAGGGCAGAGGCTGAGGGGAATGGGCCTGTGCTCCAGGGACTCCTTGCTCAGCCTCGCTCTCCTGCAACTTGACCTCCTCCAGGCTCGTGGGGAATGCCAGTCCCCCCCACCAGTGCCCCTCTGCAAGCAACACCCTCCCCAACCATGCTCTGCCAGGCCAGCTGACACCATGCCAGCTGTAATGATGTCCCACAAAGTTTGGGCGAACGAGTAAGTTCAGATTTGGCTTGAATGTCCTCGGGGATGGTGAGGACACAGGACAAAGAGCAGACACGGGAACATGGTGAGATCTGTTTGTTGTGGTGACAGTACTGGCCGGTTTCTTGTTTATCTCCCCAACCTCTACCTTAGCTCCATGAGAGCCAGGGGTGCAAAGTCAGCATGCTGAATGAATGAGTGAATGAATGCGTGAGGGCAGAGGCTGCTGAGTACAGGGCCAGGTTGGGTTTTGCCAGGCAATACAGAGACGGGCCAGGGAAGACAATGTACACTGTGAGGCCAGAACACGCTTGGGGGCAAAGGGTGAAGCGGTGATGGGCTGGAGAGGGGCTGGGGCGGCAGGAGT